TTTTCATCAACACCCATAAAACGTAACTGAAAGTGGGACTGGAGTAATAAATGTTGCAGGGCTATGTTTAATCTGGAAAGGTTTATGAGGTGAGGACTCTAGTCAGGCTTCCCATTAAATGTCCTTATTAAGCAAATCCTTGATTTTCCCTGATGTAAAACTAAACAAAAATCCATTAAAAAGCTTGTTAAAACTGAGGCCACATTGCAAACCTCATCAAGAAATGATCAAGGCTGTAAATTACTATGCAACCTCAGTAACCACCTACATTTTTCCTGCAGGTTAAAGCATTTGCATTAGAACAGCCTCCACTTCTCTCATCTCACCTTGTAGCTGAAATCCTTCCTCTCTGCAACATTCTGTTAAAACTCCTCTGTACCCTCATATCCTCCCTAAAGTGTGACGACCATAATGAGCACAATGCTCCAGTTGTAGCCAAACCAGAGCTTTATAAAGTTTAGCATAACTTCCCTGTTTTGTATCTTTTTATGAACCCAAATTCCCATGTGCTTTGCTCTCCACTCTCTCAATATGTCCTTCCCACTTGGAAGATCCACCCCACATCCCTTTGTCCCTATACACTTTTTAGGACTGTGCCATTAAGTATCTATTGTCTGTTCTCATTCTGCCTACAGAACCTACTTGCCCATTCTGCAGGTCTACTTATGTCATGGTTGAGTTCATTTTTTAAATTCATTCAGGGGATGTGAGTTTCGCTAGTTGGATTAGTGGTTATGATCCAGCCAAACTGCCATGGAGCAGGTAGACCCACAATGCTGTGAGGGAAGGATTTGAGGGATTCTGACACAGCGACACTATAGGAATGGTTATATATTTCCAAGTCAGGATGGTGAGTGGCTTGGAGGGGAACTTGCAGGTGGTAGTGTTCCTGTGTATCTGCTGCCCTTGTCCTTCTAGATGGAAGTGATCCTGGATTTGGAAGGTGCTATCTGAGGATCTTTGGTGAATTTCTGCAACACACCTTGTAGATGTTACACGCCGCTGCTACTGAGCATTAGTGGTGGAAAGAGTGAATATTTATGCATGTGGTGGCAATCAAGTGGGCTGCTTTCTCCTGGATGGTGTTGAACTTGAGTACTGTTGAAGGTGCATTCATCCAAGCAAGTGGAAGCATTCCATCACAATTCAGTCTTGTGACTGCAAGACTAGGAGTCAACACAAAATTTTAAAAGGGAGACGATATGGATTTTTTGGCAAGAATTTTAAGGGTTCTGAAGCAAACTGGGAATTTAAAGTAGATGGAATGAAGGCAGAATAGCCTTGATCTTATTGAATGATGAAATGTGACAAGCTTTACAGTTTCATTTTATGTTCCTGGATCACATGCTACGCGAAACCAGGTGAACCATCATGCTAACTTAATCTGCTCGCCCTGGTCAAAATAAATTGTGATACCATGAGGCCAATGTTTTATAGATCAATTGTAACTTAGCACTGTGTGCAGGAGAAACAGAACTGGGCCCAGCCTTTGGGAAAAGCTGAGAGATAATGCCAGCACAAAATGTCAGCATGAAGGCAGGGTGACCCTCTCTGGTATTACCATTTTCAAGATTAATGCCCATGAAGGGAATCTTAATCAAGGTCCACCTTTTCACCTTGAAGTCATCGTTTGCATTTTAAAAGAACATAAAGCTCAGGACAACATGATCTGTAAGTAAAAAAGGGCCCCATCAATCAGTGTAATAGGACAACAAACCCTCAGCAGTCAGTGTGCGAATCCTCACTTTTGGATTTATGCAGCTATTCATGTTGTTCATGGCCAGCAAGGACAGCCAAGTGCCATAGTTCATTCTGAATTGGGAAAAAAAAAGTGACAGCCATATTAAACTGCCCTGTGGGAACAGAAAACAACCTGTCCAGATCAATTTCTACTCAAGTAGGACAAGAGTTGGTGTACCAAGAGATAAAGAGATAGCACATGAAGTAAAAAGAAGGGAGAGAGAGTAAGGTAAGAAGAGTTTTAAGCAATAAATCCGCAGATTATTTTGTGTCAGAAAATCATTTCCTAGCTTCCATCAATCCTTCAGAAATGATTAATGCATCAGGAACAGCACTCAGGCACCACTGGTTAATATTGTTTATAGCAGTAAATGGAAACTGAGTGTGGAAGAGGAGTGTGTTACATTTATGAGGTTTATAAGATAATGATGTTTTGGAACTGTGTCTTCAATTTAGGGTAAACGGGGTTGTGTAACATGGTCTGTAGTCTGACAGCAAGTCTGGGTGGTTTGATTGTTGGATAGTAAAGCCCAGGCTGATTTACTGTGAGGAACGTCCAAGGTTTTCATGATTAGAGACATTGGTTGAGGCTATGTGCTAATAGAGGATACACTGAGAGCCTCCAAACTCCCAGAAGAGTGTTTAGAATGTCAGGTTGTAAACAGTTGTGCTTTAAAGTGTCCAATTACTTCAAGGACAAGAGACACTTGGACACTTTGGGTAGCTAATTAGCACCCCAAACTGAATACAAGGCCCACGTGACTCACATTGCCATAGTGTTCAGTTTCAAAAAAGGGGAGGGTAAAGAGGAAGCCACCGTGATACTGGGATTATAGGTAGTCTTTCCAACATGCACACTTTGTTTTATTATAATGCGGAAGACAGACATAAAATGGCAGGCAACTTTGGAGAGTAACAAAAATTGGAGATAGCATGATGTTTTAAAGATTGAGTAAGTCAGTACGCCCACAAGTGTTGTAAAGAGAACCAAAGATTAAATATTTGGGATTTTAAAATTGCAGTTCTACGTGGCGTACAGGACAGATTCTTCCAAAGGTGAATACAGAAGGACGTAGGGTTAGGCATGGAACGGATATGTGCATGGTGAATGATACAAAGAAGTGATCAGAGCTGGCTTTAGCTGTAATGGGCATGATACAATTAGCAAGACCATGTGATATGGGAATGCCAATAGGTTAGCTGTGAATATGGGTTGGGGTGTTAATAAATATGGGAGAGATTTAGGGAAGAGTATATTGTAATAAGATGTCTCGAAATCTGAGGCAGTTAGATTATTAAAATATAGGGGAATGAAGGGTTATGGGGAACAGACAAAAAGTGGTATTGAGGCCACTACTGGATCAACCATGATCTTATTGAATGGCACAGCAGGTTCAATAGGCTGAATGTCCTACTCTTGTTCCTATTTCTTATCTCTTTACATGATTTATTGGGTAGAACAGTGTGTCAAAAAATTATGGATTCAAGACCCGTTCCATATACTTGAATGAATAATCTTGGCTGATGCTTCCAGTATGGCACTCAGAGAACAGAATACTGCCGGAGGTGCTAAATGGAGGCCCTTTCTGCCCACTTTGGTCTAAAATAGGTCATGGCCAACAATTGAAAAAGAGAAGGGATCATTTTTATTGCATAAACAACATTACCAGAACAGACCATCCAGCAATATCACATTGCTAAGTGTGTGCATGTGTGCAAATTGGCTGCTGATCTTCGCTACATTACAACAGTGGTATATTTCAGAGTGGAGATAGCAAGAACTGCAGATCCTGGAGTCAGAGACAACACAGTGTGGACTGAAGAAGGGCCTCGACCCGAAATGTCAACTTTCCTGCTTGTCTGATGGTGTGTGACCTCTGCTGTGTTCCTCCAGCTCCACGCTGTGTTGTCTCATACTTCAAAGGATAATGTATTATGGGACAACCTGAGATTGTGAAAGATATTTTTGATTATCCTGGGAAGAGCAAGAAAAGTGGCAATAGTGCAAGGTTAATTTATACATATTGCAGCACAGAAAATGAATGTAGTGCAACACTGTATTGGAATAGGCTACAACATCTAAAGACTGTATGACAGTAGTCCAGAATACAGGTTCAGAGCAAGTCACCAGATCTTGCTCAGGAATTCACCATTCTTAATATACAAATATGAACCATTCTCAGTAGTTTGATAGTAGTCAGTCCTGAGAATACATCATTGGAGTATTTGAAGTCTTATTTGTGTGTTTTTATGGACTGTTCGATAGTAAGACAGACTGTAGTTACATAATGCTGCATAAATAAGGTGCCAGACAAATAGAATGGTCATAGAAAGGGAGACGATCAAATAGCTTCAGAAAAATATCTTTTAAGCCTGTATTTTCAGAAACCATGTGGGTTATTGGTCTGGCAACAGTGTCTTGCCCTAGGATTTGGAGAGCAGAATCTGAAAACAGCAATGAGGAGAGAGTGTGAAATGTCAGGTCTCTCACTGTCCAATGAGTTATCACCAGTCAGGCAAGTTAAAAGATAAGATCTCATGGCACTGATTAAATTTCTGAATGGAAGTTTTCCCAAAGTCTTGTCTAACAATATTTGCTTAATTAACATGACCAAAAACATATTAACTGCTCACTTACTTACCAGGGCCTTGCAGTGGGTGAACTGGCTGCCAGGTCTTTGGTGTCTTGAGGGCGAAAGACTCAACATAAATAATTTCTTTCTTCAAAGTATGAAACCTATCAGGCAAATTCTTATAGTGGCCTTTTTTAAATATCTCTTACCATTTAAGCATCTACACTGTGAGATACTTTTATTTGATCACATTGAACCCAGTGTTGTTGCAGACTTCTAACCAGCAGTATTGTATCCTTGTATGATTACAGCTTGAAATTCTCCTTTATAGACACAACCAGGCTTGGAAGGTCGTGGCCCATGGTTTATAACATTTGGCTGCTTCTCACTGTTCAAGTAGATACAGCAAGTCTTGGAGCTGAATCAGCTCTGGTCATAAAAAGAGATTCCAATATGCCGTATGTAAATGAATTAATAGAGAAGGTCTCTATGATCCTCGAATTATTTCACAGGGAGCTGGAGAGATTTTTCAGGGTTGTTTATTCCCCACATTACTCAGCCTAGGCTTTTCCATTGCTGTTATAGCCATCACAGGCCTCAACCACTGACAGTGTGGGCTCGCTTTCTCATATGTTGACAAAGCTACTTCAGCAAAATCCTTCTGGTGAGACTGGTCACTGTACTTACCAGCATAGAGTTGGGACGATTGTTTTGAATTTGGACATCTGTGAAGAACTCTGTGTTGTGGTTTAATCGACCATGACCACCGTAATCTGTTGAGTCAGTGTCCAGCACAATTTTATATCTGTACACATCGATTTAAGGAGAAAAAGAAGTTACAATTGTAAATGCTATTAAAGTTATACAAGCGTGCACATGATACACTTATAGTAACAAACATTACTGTGTGTGCATACTCAAAACTACAGCACAGTAATAATCCATTCCTTCCAACTGGTTTACGTCAAATTTTATCATCCAACGAGCCTTTTCCCACCCTAAATTCATCCATACTATTCACCTTAACTGTTTGGTGTGTTCACATTCTTACCACTTGCTGGGCAAATGATGAATGATTTTATTGTCAAATGTATTTGGGAAAATACAGTGAAGAGTTTCGTTGCCACAATTCTGCACCATGTTGGATCACAAGAAACTACTTAAATAGAGCTTCATCTTCTGTTCAATTGTCAGAAAAATATAAAGGCAGAAAAATAAGTTATAATGTTCAACTTTACAGTCTATCTTGTCTAGCGTGGCCCAGTGGTTTCCGGGCTGGAATAAGCCTCGTTCCGGGTCCAGCTGATGCCCCAGGAATACCTGGCTCCGCTGCCACCGCCTCATTGACATCTTAGAGTTCCAATCCAGGCCAACCACACAGCCAAAGCTGCAGCCATCACCTCATCAACATCACCATCAGCCCGTTCCAGCCTCCTCCGCTACCAAGATGATGAAAAATATGACAACAAGGAAAGCAAAACAGGTTTCTCCTGAATTCCTTGTAAGATTAACTCTTGATAATCTTAGATTTAAGATGTCAACTATTGTGGAAACAAGTTTCAATGGCTATCATATCAATGTCCTTCATGATTTTAAAGCCCCCTATCAGATTATCGCTCAGTATTCACTTTACAGTCACATATTTGAACAAATTCTGTTGTGTAGAGGAAACAAAGATTCAGTTGTTTATCACATGGAAACTCAAGACCCCTGGAGGGAGGATTCCAATCAAAATGGCACCACCTGTGGGTATTCAGGGGCAATTTTTCCCCATAGAAAGCCTTTTGGTTGGTTTTTTGCATGGTAATGATTGTTGTGGACTCTAGTGCTCAGCATACTAATAGCCGACTGTCTAGGAACCAACTTTGTGGGGGGGACAACAGGGCAGAAACAATCTACCGGTAAAAAGAAAGCATTCATCTCTCCCTCTCTCTTCTGTACACAGTGGAATAAAATTCCAAGAAGCTAGTTACTCTCTCAAACTTTTCAAAATGAGCTACTCTGTCTACAAACCTCGGGAATTCACTTTCAGAAGTACTGAAATGGTGAATCTTCCACTAAGAGTCGCTTTATCCACGGGATCATACCATGAGCAAAGAACTGGAAGGAATTGGAAGGAAAACAACTCATTGAGACATCAGTGATTCGAACTGGTGGTAAAACTGTATTTTTCTGTCTTTGTTTCCTTTTGTGTCTTGTCTATTATTTCTGTATGTGAATTTTAAGAAAGGGATAGAGTTTGAGTTATAGATTACCAATTCAATTTGTTAACTTTTTGCGATTGGTTAAAAACATTTTAATTCCTATAAGTAGTTATTTTCTTATAGTGGAAAAAAAAGCTGGTGTGTATATTCTTTTAAAAGGAATTAAACAGGTAGAATCAGACAATTCGGTGGCTCAATCAAATTTGCACACTTCTATGGGTTCGTAATAATGGCAAATGATTTCCAACGCACTACCACAGTGAGTTCTGACACCAGCAATATCCTTACACGCACCAACATTCCAGTGAAGATTTACCTCTACCTCCACACCTAGGTTTCTTGCTCTAGCTGCCAATGGCTTCTTTCCAGTGAATTCCTCTGCATTAATTAGGTGCTATTTCCTTCAAGGGGTATCTCTCCAAGACACCGAGAGCAAACTGCAAAACTAAATTCACTATTATCTTCACAACAAACATGAGTTCCCTAAATTCAGATTCAAGCAGTCTATCTCAAGCACACATGCAATCTGAGTGACTTCTTGATTTTTCTGTCGGTCCTCCTCCCAACAGCAGCTTAAAGTGCAGGTGCACATTGAAACATGTTGTATTGAACAGCCATGCAGCATTTTTAACCAAGGCAACATATCTTTTCAAATTTACCCAATCAACTTAAACCAAGCTCTTAGATACTAAAAACCTACCAAATTTAAATCTGATGGCATTGACAATGTAGAACCAATCTGACTGTAAATAAATTAATATATCATCAAGGGTATAAAAGATGAGGGCATTTGGAAAATCAGGGAGAGCCAACAGCTATCTGAAGTGAAAGCAAATCCGCCATCTGAGAAATAAACTTGGCTCTCACAAAAAAAGCACCATCAAGGGTACCACGGCATTTTGTTTTATCTCAGAGTCATCATGGAGAAAATACAGCAAAAACATCTATGACAGCAAGATCAGCGGAAGAAAGGCTGGAGAAGGCAGTGTGTTCCAGAAGACACAGTCTGTGCGAACTTGAAGAAATTAAGTTTTAATTTATTGTGTCTTATTAATTGGGTTTATATAAGTGGGTCTTGTGTTTATTTGAACAGCATTCCAGTAGAATTTAGTTCAGTTAGGGAATAGTTAGTACTTAGGGGGCAATTGTTTGGTTTGTTAGTAATTCTGTTAATTTGTTCATTATTAGGTTTAAATAAATAAATTGTTACTTGTTACTTTAAAAAGTGACTGTCAGGAATTTCTTTCATTTAACCTTCCCTTCTCCGTAACAGTTTAACAGATTAGGTGAGGTGAGGTGAGGTGAGGTGAGCTTCTCTGGATGTTGAGTGTAATTAATAGAAGGGAACCTCTCTTCCTGTCATAACAGATTGGGGCTTGTGTTTTAGTTTAATTATCAGAGGGGTTTGACCTCCCCTTCGTAACATTCCTCACTAAACTATTGGGAACCCCTTCATTTCCAGTGTTGTAAAACCTCATTAAAAGACACAAAACAAACCACCAGACACTCCACCACTAAGACCCCAAAACAGTTCTATAAAACAAATGAAATGAAATGTCTTCCCTTTCTTAACACACACTAAATACACTATTTACATTATATTTCACATTATATATTGATCTTCATAACATACAGTCTAAATCCACGTAAGGAGCAAAGCAGTTGTGCCAGGATACCAGAGAGAGCCAAATCATACAGTGCTGGCTGCAGCAAGCAATTAACAGAGACCAGATTCCAAGAATACTTTAAACAATTGAAGTCAGCTTCTCCAATCCACTTGGCACAGCTGCAGTTCTCTCTTATAGCACTGCTACGACTGCCACACAGTCTCACAGTGAAGACACTACTCATTGTGTTGTGAGACAGTACCGCTATGCGTAAGGTTATGGATTCAGTACAGATCGGGCAGGTCAAATCTGGGAGTCCATGAGGTGCTGTGTGGCATTAGTAACAGCAGAACTGTATTGATTGATTGATTTATTGTTATGTGTACCAAAGTACAGTGAAAGCTTTGTTTATGAGCAATATAGGCAGATCATAATAAGCAAGGATGTACAAATTAAAAAGACTTAGACAGAGGCATACAGGTTACATTGCACAGGGCGTGTGCTAGGCCAGATTAACGTTAGCAAGATCAGCATTATTTGAGGCTAGAAAGTCTCTTCATTAGTCTAACAACAGCCAGGAGGAAGCTGTTCCTGAACCTGCTGGTGCGTGTGTTCAGGCTCCTGTATCTTCTGCCTGACACAAGAGGTTATAGGAGATCCTTACCAGGATGCAATGGTCTTTGATGATGTTGGCAGCCTTTCTGCAGCAGCGAGCCGAGTACATGGACTTCATGGATGGAAGGTTGGCTTCCGTCATGGTCTGGGCTGAGCACACCACCCTCTGTAGTTTCTTACGGTCCTGGGCAGAGCAGTTGCCGTACCAGGCCGTTATGCACCTGGACAGTATGCTTTCAGTGGTGCATCTGTAGAAGTTGGTGAGGGACCTTATGGACATGCCAAATTTCCTGAGCCGCCTGAGGAAGAAGAGGACGTTGTTGTGCCTTCTCGACCATCACATCTACGTGTGAATTCCAAGACAGGTTGTTGATTATCGTCACTCCGAGGAACTTGATGCTCTCCACTCTGTCAACCTCAGTTCTGTTGATGCAGATGGGGGTGTGTTCTCCTCCTTTCTTTCTGAAGTCAATGATCAGTTCTTTAGTTTTACCAACATCGAGAGAAAGGTTGTTTTCATTGCACCACGTCACCAACCCTCTATCTCCTTTCTGTATTTTGACTCGTTGGTTAGATATCCATCCTACCACAGTGGTGTTGTCAACGAACTTGCAAATGGCGTTTGTTCAGAATTTAGCAACACAGTTGTGGGAGTACAGTGAGTACGATAGGGTGCTGAGGATGCATCCTTGGGGGGCTCCAGCGTTGAGTGTTATTATGGGGGGAGGTGCAGTTACCTATCCTCACTGATTGCAGCCTATGGGTCAGAACGCTGAGGATTCCGTTGCAGAGGGCAGAGCCGAAACCAAGGTCACTGAATTTTGAGATCAGACTGGAGGGGATAATGGTACTGAAGGTGGAGCTGTACTCAATGAACAGGAGTCTGACATAGGTGTCCTTGTTGTTCAGATGTTTCAGGGATGAGGGCAGGGCTAGGGAAACGGCATCCGCTGTGGACCTGTTACATCAGTCGGCAAACTGTAGAGGATCGAGGCAGGTTGGAAGACTGGAGTTGATGTGGGCCATGACCAGTTTCTTGAAGCACTTCATGATGCTGGAGGTCAGAGTCATTGGGCAGTAGTCATTAAGGCATGTTGCATGTGCTTTCTTAGGTTCAGGGATCATCTTGAAGCAGGTGGGAACTTTGACTTATAGGAGGGAGAGGTTGAAGATGCTGGTGAATATCTAGAATCTGTAAAACTTATGACTAAAGTAAAAGCAAAATACTATAAACACCAGCAATTTGAAATAAAAGCTATGAGCATTGAAGAGTCATTTCTCTCTCCACACACGCTACAAGACCTGCTCAGTATTACCAGCACTGTTTTTATTTTTGTAATCTCATGGCTTAACATATCTATCAATGTACTATAAAACTG